TGTCGTTGAGTAGGTACACCCACTGCTAGGGCCTTTCCTAAATATTCAGAACAAAATTCTATAGCTTCTTCTGCAATATACCTTTCAACAATAGAAGCTTCAGGTCTATATGGATTCTTTGTATACCCTTTAAAGATCTTCATACATCGCTCAATTGGGTACATCCACCTCAAATAAATCGGACCACACAGTCTTATCTCTCTTACAAGATGAACTATTAAGTGCACCATAATGTCAAAAAATGATGGAGGAAAATACATCTCCAACTGACATAATATAACCACAGCTTCATTTTCCAACTGCTCCAATGATTTTTCATCAACTACTTTGGCACATATAGCATTGAAGAAGAAACAAAGACGCATAATTGCATGTCGTAGATTCTTTGGCAATATGTCACGTATAGCTACGGGTAAGAGTTGTTGCATCAAAACGTGACAATCATGCGACTTTAACCCAACTAGCTTCAGATCTTTCATGGACACAAGGCTCTTAATATTTGAAGAGTATCCTTGTGGCACTTTAATACTGTGAAGACACTGACATAAACTAGTCTTCTCCTTCTTTGACAATGTGTGACAAGCTGGTGGTAAATATGTTCTCTTGCCTTCAGGTCTTGGATGTAATTCTGGACGTATTCCCAATTCACATAGATCTTGACGAGCTTTGACTCCATCCTTTGTTTTTCCTTTAATGTTCAATAGTGTGCCAATGAGACTATCAAATACGTTCTTCTCCACATGCATAAAATCAATGCAATGTCTCACATCTAGATGACTCCAATATGGAAGGTTAAAGAAAATTGATCTCTTTTTCCACAACCTTTTATCAGGACGACTCGTTTTTTAGTCTTTCCAAAGACAACATTAATGTTTCTAACCCGTTCATAAACTTGTTCACCAGTTAAAGGTTGTTTGGCAATTTTATCTTCCTGCTGACCATTAAAAGCTTTCTTCAATCTTCGATATGGGTGGTTATGTGGAAGAAATTTTCTGTGCCTATTATACACAGTCTTTTTTCCATGCTTCAATTGTAGAAAACTTGTATCTTCCTCACAAATAGGACAAGCATGATGACCCTTGACACTATACCCACTCAAGTTTCCATATGCTGGGAAGTCATTGATAGTACAAAATAACATTGCATGTAACTTGAAGCTCTGCTGTTGATATGCATCAAACACATCCACTCCTTCCTCCCACAATAGCCTTAAGTCATCTATTAACGGACTTAGATAAACATCTATGTCATTACCCGGCTGTCTTGGACCTGCAATCATGATGGATAACATCACGTACTTGCGCTTGAAAATCAACCATTGTGGAAGGTTGTAAATCACTAAAAGAACTGGCCATGAGCTGTGATTACTGGTTAAGTTACCAAAAGGATTCATGTCGTCTGTGGCTAGTCCAAGTCTAACATTTCTTGCATCACTGCCAAAACTTGGAAATAGGCAGTCAATTTTCTTCCACTGTGGAGAATCGGCCGGATGACGAAGCAATCCATCACGTTTTTGTGCAGTTGAATGCCATATCATATTCTTGGCATCTTCTCCATTGGCAAACAATCGCTTCAATCTTGGAATAATTGGAAGATACCATATAACTTTTGCAGGAGGTCTCTTTCTATCAATACATTCGCTATTATCATCCTTGTCTTTCAATTTGTAACGCGATACACCACATCTTGGACACTCATGTAGGCTTTCAAACTCTTTTCTGTATAATACACAATCATTAGGGCAAGCATGTATCTTTTTATACTGTAAACCCATTGGACAAAGTATTTTTTTGGCTTCATACATACGATCAGGCAAGGTGTTATCGCTTGGGAGCATATCTTTCAAAACTTCTAGTAACTCAGTGAAACTTTTATCACTCCAACCAAATTTGGCCTTCAAATTGACCAATCTCAATACAGCTGACAATCGCGTGAATGTTGTACATCCAGCATACAGAGGTATCTCTGAATCTATCTTCAATTTATCATAGACAGCAGCATGTGCTTGCAGAAAATTCTCTTGACCTACATCACGAATCATGTCTTCTATTCGATCTTCCATTGTCATATCCTCCTCTTCCTCAGCTTGTGTTACTATTGGTGTATCAATCACTTCACCATGCCATGTCCATAGGATATAATTCTTCATTATCCCATCACATAAAAGATGTTCCCGTATTGTCTCTAGTGTGTGTACTCTCCCATTAACGCAGTTAACGCATGGACAATACAATTTTCCATTAACCTTGGTGCCATTGTGTTCTGCAAATTGCAAAAATTCTTCAACTCCATTCTCATACTCTTGTGAAATACGACTTGCATTTACCCAACTTCGATCCATTTTGGAATTGGAGTCTACAAATGAGAAACCCATAAAACGATTAATACTAATAATCGTTATCTCTAATGAAATCTATACCAAAGTAGATTAATTTGTAACGAAATTTCAACAGAATTTCGCCTATTTTTTGGTCAAAACCAAATTTGTATAAATTGAAATTATAGAGTTTTCATTGTTACTACCATCACTTATATAACTACATTGTTATATGTAGTTTTCAGAATTCACACTTCATGATTAATTTCTAACAAAAATCCGGAGAGTTTCCTTTGTTTTTTGGCAACAATTTTAAATGACACAGTGAAACCTGACAATAAAAAGCCCCATCGGCATATTCAAGCAGTTCAAGTATAATTGTACACATCATCAATACATTGAAAAAAACTATAATATGACTAAGAATTGAATCAACAGTTAACGGCAAATGACTAACAATCTCTACCTATGAAATGTAGTAAGTAAAATTGTATGACTTTGCCCAACAAATATAAGTGCAACAACATCGTACCCGTGGTTTAAGGCAGCGATGAAGGTTCGCACCACAGAGAAACAGAGCAGCGCTGCACTGGGGTGGAGGTGGAGGATGCAATGCGGCGTTAGGGTCGAGGCTGTGGTGAGCGGACAATGCAATGTGGGTGGAGGCTGCGGTGGGGGTGGAGGGTGGTTGACTAGCGTCGCGGTGGGCGACTAGCGTCGCGGTGGGGTGGAAGCTGCAGTGGGGTGGAGGTGCTTGCGGCGGGGTGTCACGCCGTGCGCGGTGGCGACGTGAGGGAGGGCGTCCGGAGAGTCCAAATGACCGTGGTAGGTGGTGGCCGCGATGCTTGGAGAGTAAGGGAGTGGGCACGATGCTGGAGAGTAAGGGGAGATATACAAAAATGGTAGCCTATTCAAATGGGAAAACGGGGTTTTGACGTCGGTTATACCCACACCCGACGTTGAAACTCGATTTATCTCCTGTTTTAATCGATTGAAATGAGATTTAATTGATTAAAATAGTTCTGATCGGTCATAACTGGATTCTGATCGATCATCCTGACCCTTTAAGAGATTTTAATCAATTGAAATGTGTTTTTAATCGATTGAAAAAATTCTGATCGCTCATAATTAAAATCTGATCGATCACATTTGATTCTGATCGGTCATATTTGTATTCTGATCGGTCATAATGAGTTCAGAAGGGTTTTCAACGTCGGGTGAGGGCATAACCGACGTCGAAAGCCTACGTTCCATGTCGTGCATGCTAAAACGACGTAGAATGTGTCAAAATTCGACTTTCGACGTCGGTTGTTGACCAACCGACGTTGAAAGCATGTTCAACGTCGGCTAAGATGTAACCGACGTTAAACAGCGACGTTGAAAGTATATTTTCTAGTAGTGATGATCTTTTCTTATGTTTGTAAATTTTACTAATAGATATATCTACTTTCCTTTCATATATGAATCTACAAAAAATTAAAAGTGCAAGAAAAATATTATTTTATAAAATTATTTTTATTTAAATTAATAATTATTCATTTTAATGTTTACAATTTTAATATATATATATATATATATATATAAAAAAGATTATACAAATTAAATAAATAATTTAATATTTTTTATTTGTTTGTAATATGATATTATTTTTTAATTTAATTTTAAATCATTTTAGAAAAATAATTTTATAATAAAAAATATTTTATACTTACACACACACACACACACACACACATATATATATATATATATATATATATATATATATATATATATATATCAATATAAAATAAATATATAATTTAAGGTATTATTTTAAAAAAATTATATGAATAATTATGTATTTGAATAAAATTTTAATATTAAATTAATTATTATTATTTTTTAAAATGAAGACTTATTTTTTCAGATAATTCTATTTTTAAATAAATGAAAATATTTTTATTATATTTTATTTTTATTTTTTTTACCCTTTCTTTCTTTATTGCTGATCAAATCTTAGCATTTTCTTATAAATTTCATCATATTAACAATACCTAAATATACATATGCTTCAGGATTTTTTTCAATTATTCGTTCCAGAGTTACATGTTTAATTATAAAATTGAATCATTTTTTTATTGAAGATGGATCACCAAAAATCAAGTCATTTTATGAATAAATATTTATTGATAATTTTTTTATCTTAACTTTTTATTTTCTTTTAAAATAAATCAAAACGGGTAACCTTACTCCAAATTTACTTGTGGCTACCAAATTTTTACAGGCATTATAAAAATTGGACAAAGAATAAGGTATAAATGACAAAAATAATAAACTAAAACTCTTCTAATCGTTATTAAAATATATAAAAAAATTGAAAAGAAATTGCAATTTTAAATTGTTTTACGATTTTATATTTATTTTTTGTATTTATCTTTATTAAATATTATGAGTATTTGTATTTTGTTTTAAAAAATAGTAAGTTTTTTTAAAATAATTAATAATAAAGGTTAATTTGGTACATTGGTAAACATATTTTAAAAAATCATGTAAATTAATTAGTTTGTGTAATTATATTAGAAGTATCTTATATCAAAGATTAGAGGAAGAGAGTAATTAAATTTATATTGAAGTTAAAAAATTACAATAATTAAAGGATATAATTGATAAAATAATAATTAATATTCTCATTGAAAAACACCAAAACACACTTGTTTTTGCTGATTGAAGTTACTCCTAAGAAAAGGCCATCCGAGATAAGTGATGCTAATTTGCTACTGTGGAAATGTAAAGGTCGTAGATAGTGCCAATTAACGCCACCATATGCATCAATTATTAAGTAAGTCACACCTATCTTTTTTGAAATCAACGAGGAAGAGATTGATGGAAATATTTCTACATTCTCAAGAGATGATTTTGATGATGATTCAAGTCAACTACATTCAAGTCAACACCATTCAAGATGAATTAAGGACAAGCTGAATTTATGACATTGGTGACAATGTGAAACATTTTCCTACATGCCCAAGATATGTTTTTGATAAAGATGATGATTCAAGCAAATTCAAGATGATTCCTGAAGACTAGATAGAGTCTTAGAATACTGGATATGGAGGTACAAGTTGATGAAGTAATATTATGCATAAGCCTCCAAAGCACAAGTGTGATAAAATTCATAACGTGATATTTTTCACTTGTCATAATCAATTATGATGCATCAAAAATGGAAAAATGATTTTCTCTGTCATAATTGAGTATACTTGGAAACATAATCAATTATGACAATTCAAATTTGAAAAATATATCTGTTTTGAAGAATAAATATTTTTGAATATATCCTTATTTTTATTCACAAAAATATTAATGTCCAACGGTCATTTTCTCGATGTTATTTTTTTATTTAATTAAGTTTTGATGAAAAATAAAAAACACACAATTACAGAATTCGAAAATACAATTTACATTCAATCAGTTTTGAGAAAAGAATTATGAGTAAGGCAACAAAGATATTTTACATCTTCTGAGAAAACCTTCTTCTCTACTGTCTTCTATGATCTCATTGTTAATCACACATGTTCTTAGAGATTGACATTCTACAGGCTTCTACAATTTGTTGTCTCCATTACCCAGGTGTGACTGTTCTTTTTTATTTATTTATTACCTTCATCCTTTGTGTATTGGTGGCAAAGGAAGTACTTTTCATCCCTAGTGTGATTCTAGGGAGGTGTTCATCCTTAGTGGGATTCTAAGGAGGTGTTTTTTCATCCTTTGATTTGTTCAGAGGAGGTGTTCATCCCTAGTAGGATTCTAGGGAGGTGTTCATCCTTAGTGGGTTTCTAAGGAGGTGATTGTCTTTTTAATTAGTTTACTTTTTACTGGTTCTTCTGTTGAGTTGATTGTAATTTGTAAATTGAATTTGAAAGATAGTGAATTGGGAGTCACTCTTGTGTTAAGAGTTGACTGGGAACTGGATGTAGGGTTGGTAATACCCGAACCAATATAAATCTCTGTGTGTTCTTCTCTTTCTCTTATCTCTTTCTCTTTTCCTGATTATATTATCACTTCCGTTTTATCTGTGTTCAAACAAATTATTGACTCACAAAAAAAAAATTAATTTGACATCTATTTTAATTTGTGCATCTATTCACCCCCTCTAGATGCTATTTATCTAACAAGTGGTATCTGTTAGAATCGCGCAGCGGAATGTTCGCGTGGTCGGACAAAAACCAAGAGGGGGGGGTGAATTGGTTTCTTAATAAAAATTAGGTTTTCAAAATTTTCCCCAAATTTTACCGATTAAAATCTGTGTAAATGTAAATAGAGAAAGGGATAGAGTCTTACACAGGAAATTTATACTGGTTCGGATCAAAAGACCCTACGTCCAGTTGCTAATCACTCAAACAGAGGATTAACGCTGTCACTATAAACAAAATTATTACAAACAAGTTACAATGGAAGAGATAAAGTAAAGATAACACCTCTCTTGAAATCCACAAGAGATGAAGAACAGTTTTCCCTAGAGACAGCACAGCACACAATCCACTAAGAACTCCACTTAGTGATTCTTATCGCTTCTAGCCCATACCAGGTTCAGAAAGCCCCTTTTTCTTGCAACAAACAGTTCTCTGGCACTCACAACACTTAACTTTTGTATGAAAAATGTTGTTCTTATTTTCTGAGTGTCATAGAAGAGTTTAAGTAGAGAAATTAGGGTTTGGGAATTGAGATTTTCGGAATTAGGGTTCTTGGGAAAAGGGTTTTTGAAAATAGGTTTGATTTGAAGTTAAAAATCAAAATCTGACTGAAATAATCGATTAAAAGAAGTATTAATCGATTAAAACAGAACCAAATATCAACAGAACCCAACCCTCTCTGTTTTAATCGATTAAAAGGTGATTTAATCGATTAAACCGCCTGATAATCGATTAAAAGTTGGTTTAATCGATTAAACCAGTGAGTTGTTACAGAAAATGATTTTTCTCACTGTTTTAATCGATTATTTCCCTATTTAATCGATTAAAGCCGAGCCTGGATGATAAATTTGAGCTTTTTGAAGCTTCTAAGGTGCAGACTATGTACCGGCTATCTTAAACTCTAATATTACAGACTCAATCTAATTGAAACAGAGTTATTACAATACAAAACAAGTCTTCAACACTCTAAGTCTTTGTGTTCTTGAATCATCATCAAAATCAACAATCTTTATGTTCATCAAGTGCAACATCAAGTCCTTGAATGTTCAACAATCTCCCCCTTTTTGATGATGATCAAAATTATCTTTTAAAGCCTTGTAATAACCTGTTTTATCTGTCATACTAACAAACACATTAGATATACCAGATAATATTTAAAAACAATCATATTATGGCTTTAAATATTTTCTCCCCCTATTTTGATTAGAATAAAAAATAAGTCATTTATTGCAAACATAAGAGCTCCCCTTCAAAATATGCATAATTTGGAGATAACTCCCCCTCAATCAAAGCATTAAAGAAACATCATATTTTATTGCAGAAACAATCATTCATTACAATAGCAAGAGAAAATAACAAAAAGAAAATAATCAACAAAATTTAAAATTCTGCACTATCATCATCATTAAAGTGTGCATCAAATCTATTTTCTAAACGGCACACTTTATCATCTACATCAGATATACGACGAATTATTTCCTCATGCCGTACTCCAGAAAGAGTGAAGAATGATTGCATCCTCTGATTCATGTCAGATAACATGTCTTCCATGGATTGTCGGGTTTCATGATGAGTAGAGGAAGTTCCAACACTTTGGATTTGGTCAGAGGGAAACTCAGCAGCTGGAGGCATATCTTCATCAGAATCTTCATTAGCATCACCTTGATTAGGAACGTCATCTTTGTGAACATAAATATCATTGACACGCACCATTTGGAGTTGAATCAATGTGCTGTCCAGCATGCGGTTCAAGTTATTTGTTCTAACTGCTTGTTCACCTTCAACATTCACTCCTTTATATTCAAGAATACGAGAGACAAGTAAAGCATATGGAATTTTGAATGTGGGATGACGTTTTGCTTTTAACATGGTCATTGTGACAAGAACGCCCCAATCTAACGGCTCATTATTCATTATGGCATGAATAATACGAAGATCAATGGAAGAACATTGGGCATGATTTGTAGCTCGAGGACATAGGATCCAAACAATTAGATGGAGAATCATGCGTTCCTCCTTCTTTAAACACTAGTGGAAAAATAGCTTTCTATGACGGGTTTTTATCACGGTCGTAATCCACCCGTCATTGTATGTGGCGCGGTGGCAATTTTGTAATAAAATCATAAACTTTCTATGTCAGGTAAGTTTTAACCGACATAGTAAGTGGAAAGGTCACTTTCTACGTCGGTTAAAATTTACCCGACATAGAAAGTTAACTTTCTATGTCGGGTAACATTTACCCGACGTAGAAATGAACTTTCTATGTCGGGTAAATTTTAACCGACGTAGAAAGTGTCTTTGATGACGGGTGTTAGGGCAACCGACATAGTATCTTCTGTTTTGCCCGCGCTCCATTTCTTTTCATCACTTCCCCCCCACTCCATTTCATTTCATCACTTCCCCCCCATAGCAGAGCTCCCCTGTACGTTTCTCCCTACGCTCCATTTCCTTTCATCAGTTCACCCATACCAGAGCTCCCCCGTTCGCTTGTATACGTTTCTCCGCACCCACATTTGCTCGTCACGCCACCTGCCAACGCTTCGTGCCGCCTGCTGCTACTGGTGCCCGTCGCCTTGGATACGTTTCTCCCCACCCAGCTCTACACGTCACGCCACCTGCCACCTCTGTAGGTCTTCAAGAGGTAAGTTTTCGTGCTTGCTTTAGCCAATGTAGGTTTACAGTATTGAATCTAGTAAGTAATAATGCTGTCAAGAGAGGGAAACATCACGGGTGCCTTTAGCTAATTTAGAGATGTATTGTAAGTAGTTTAGTCATTTGAATGTGTTTCTGTCGGCATTCTTTCGTGATTTTGATTTTGAACATTAGATTTGTATTATAATGTAGTTATTTTGAGAGTGGAGTTGGATTTCGTGTAGGCATTATAATGTAGTTATTTCTTGTTTCTGTAGCTAATTTGATTTTGAAAATTAGATTTGTAACAATGGATCGGAGTTGGATCAATTACAGACGAACAACAAATGAATATGAGAGTGGAGTAGAACAATTCCTTGAATTTGCTAAGATGAATGTTTCGGATAATGATGGAAGATTCTATTGCCCTTGTGTTAACTGCTTGAATGAGCGAAGATTACCGACTGAAGTTATTCGGGAACATGTTCTTTGTGATGGTTTCCTAAAGAGTTACATAAAGTGGACATGGCATGGTGAATTATTAAACATGCCAAGTGTAGAAGACAAAGAAGAAGTTGATCTAGAGATGGATGATCAGCTGGAGGAAATGATTCGTGAGCTTGGACAAGATGCCTTCCAACACACACATGTGTACGAGAAGTTGTCCAATGATGCAAAAGAGCCTTTGTATACAAATTGTACTAAGTTCACACGATTGTCGTCGGTACTAAAATTGTTCAATGTGAAGGCAAAGAATGGGTGGACTCGATAAAAGTTTCACAGAATTGCTTGAGTTGTTGAGTGACATGCTCCCTGAAGGTAACACATTGCCAACCCGCAATTATGATGCTAAGAAGATATTGTGTCCAATGGGTATGGAGTACCAAAAAATTCATGCATGTCCGAATGATTGTGTGTTGTACAGGAAAGAATTTGAGAACTGTCACGAATGTCCACAATGCGGGGAATCACGATACAAGAAGAAGGATGGTGATTCTGACAATGATGTTATGAAGGGTACCCCGGCAAAAGTGTTATGGTATCTTCCCATTGTTCCAAGGTTGAAACGAT